ACGGGGGGGGGGGTTTGTCTTTTTTGGGTTTGTACCATAATCAACACTTGCTCGAGTTCCTTTTTATCTCTTTTTTTACTCCCTAGCCGTCTATACTTTGTTCTAAGGATGCAGATGCAATGATACTTCTCAACAATCTCAATTTGTAGTGATTAAAACAAATATTAGTAATGCACCTCGAATTTATGCTAATTTTAAAGGTGCTATTCTACCCTGGAGTTGAAATCGTTAACATGTTTGATGTTTCCATTAACCTAACAAATAGTTGTGGTTATCAATAATTTAATTAATTTGTTAATGATTTTTTAATGAAAATAAAAAATTTTAAATTTAAATTGTATAATATATAAAGCAAAGTAGATTAAAAAATGAGAACTTATCTCTCATTACACAACTTAAAATAAAAAAAAATGATTAAATTATTATTTTTAAGAAATATATTGAACAAATGTCAGTTAGGAAATTAACCGTTCTATTTAAAATGAATAAAACTTTTAATTTTTTTGAACTTTCTTCTTCTTCTTTTTCGTTTTTTTCGTTTTTTCTTTGTTTTCCCCCTTCCCACATTTGATTCATTTGGCTTTGGTTTTGAACAAAATATGAGAACAGCTAATTCCAATCCAATAAGAAAAAGGTAAAGATGCAAACAAATTATTGGGTGTGGTTATCACCACATGCTATATTGTTAGGGTTACAAAAATTTTGATATTTTTTTGGTAAATAATTAGTTAGGATATATGAAAATATCAGTAAATAAATTAATTTTAATTTGTTAAATTAAAAAAACTAACTATTTTTTTATTTACTAACTAAAAATTATAACTATCAATTATTTTTAATAACTAAACTAAATAAAATCAATAATTTTAAACATTTAATATTTTCAAATTTATATCACGATCACTTTTTTTATGGGTGGCTATAACTTTACCCCAAGTTATTGCCCTCTATATTTCTTTAACCTACGTAAGCCACACTTGTCCTTATTTAAAGAAGAATTCTCAACAGCAAAACCTCCTCTTTTGATTTTTTTATTTTTAAGCCCTAAACTTCTTTTGAATTAACACAGGAGCTCCTGAACTAGAAACAATGCAAATAAACTTCAAACCTCGCAACTTTCAAATGATGCAAATTAACTTTCAAATAACCTTTTAAAAGATACAAATAAACTCTAATCATTAACGGACCAATGCATGTTACCCCACGTCATCTTTTTCTTTTTTCTTCACTTGATCTCACTTTTTTATATGAATACTAACATATATCAAAGGACTTCTTGAGTAATTAAAATCTTGCTAAAATATTTCTTGTGGTTTCTTTTTTAAAAGTTTTGCTAAGTTAAAGTTGTTATTTATTTTTTATTTTTTTAATGATAATATAAGTAAATACGTATATTCTCATCAATTCTTTACTTTAAATAAAATAAAAAAATAATCATTATTTTAAGATAATAAAAATATATAATATAAGAAAATATCACTTAAAGATCGTATGGTGACAAGTAAAATAGATTAGAGCTAATAGAAATTGAGGAACATGATTGATGAGAGCTGTGATTTAACCTTTTTTTTTTTTTAAGCTAGAAAAATATCTTTGATTCTTTCCAACCTATATATGTACGTGTACTGTGACACTCAATGGAATAAACAGTACTGATCCTTGGAATCGGATTCTCTCCTGTATTTCAAGTTTCAAACATCAACCATCTCCATTTTCATCAGGATGCAGGTGCAATGGTACTGCCCAATGATCCCAATTTATAGGGATTAAAACTCCTAGTTCTGCACCATGTGTTCAGCTAATTGAATTTAGTTGAATTAATTTTTAACTTAAAAAATATTTGAAAATTTTAGAAAAATATATAACTTTAGTCTTGCTTGGGAGGTGGTATTCTGTTGAGTTGAATTGTGTTGTAATTTTAGATTTTTTATTTTTTGAATTGTAAAAATATATAAAATATTAATTAAAATTAATTATTTATC